TTGCAGGGCAGCCTGTCTGGGTTAAGGAAGAAAACCTTGTGCACCTGAGACCAAGGAGAGGGCATGGTTGGAGGATGCCAGGGATACCTGAGGGCCTGTCCTGACCTTTAAAATGGTGCTGTAGCTTGTGCCCAGATGCGCGGCAAGGGCTATTTTGAACAAATGAAGGCAAGGATGGAGTCCCACATCCAGAGGGAGAAGGAGGTCATCTTTGATTCTGCCGTAAGGAAGCTGCAGGACCAGCTTGACCGGCTGCAGGTGAGAGTTCACGCCCTGAGTTCTGTAAACTAACCAAGCAGCTGCATAACACCTGGCCGGCATTCCTGACTCCAGGCACCTTGGCTAGGCACCTGCCAGGCGACTCCTTTCTCCCCGCTTTGTCACTGGGGAGGGATCATGCCCCTCCCGCCTGGACAACAGCTCCTCTGCCGCTTCAGAATTGGGAGAAGGAATGGTCGGCTGGCTGGCTGGCCGGCCAGTTAAGAGTCCTGCTCTTACCTGCCTCTTTCCTGGGCTCGAGCTACAGGAAGCCAGACTGAGGCCGAATATCAGGAAGAACTTCCTAAATGAAGCAGTGAGTGCTCCAGTTCTCTGGAGGCGTTTGGGAGAAAAAAAGAGGACACTCATCTGTCAAATCTGCTTTGATGTGGATTCCTGCACGGAGCAAGGGGTTGGAGTTGGTGGCCTTTTCCAACTCCGTGATTCTGTGACACAGCATGAAAAGGAAGGGGTTTAGGGAAAGGAGGATTAGAAGAGCAGACACAGTCCCAGGATTCATGAGTACAAAATCCAGCCAGTAGCAAGCCGAGTTCAGGAGACAGTAAACCCAAGAGCGGGCCACAGAGTGGGGCTTGAGCAGGAGAGAAAGGCTTCCGTTTTCCTTCCCTCTGGCTGGCCTCGCAGCGGCTAATTGCGTACCCCTCTCAACAGAACTGTGATAGCAGGAAAGCTGCTTGGTTGTCTGCAGAGGAGTTACTAGAAAGTCCCTGGCGTGGATGGAGGAGCCTCTCCCCTGGCTTGCGACACCAGCAGGAAGGAGATTCACCTGAAACCCCCCCACCCCACCCTAGGGTGGCTCTTCCTAAGGCGGGTGGCCCACAGCAGCAGCAGGCCTAGCTGAATGCCGCTGGGTGGAGACTCTCTTCCTCTACCCCATCCCCACTCCAGTCTCCTGCAAAGCTGAAGGAGGCGCCAGATGGCTCTGAATCCTGGCATGGCTTGGGCAAGAGTGGAGAGGGAGTGGAGCCCCTCTTGAGCTGGCTTTGTCCCTTTGGGCTTTGATCTCTGGAATACCTTCCCTGGTCAAAACCTCTGTCAGAGGCTGCCAGATCAAGCCCCATCAGAGAGACTTTGTTCCTCTCTCAGACGACTCCTTCCCAACTGGTCTGGGGCTCTTTTCTTCGGCAGCGGCCTCCACGGTTCCTTCAGGCCACGTGCATACCTTGGCTTCTGAGGAAGGGGGCTCTTACCCAGCGTTTTTCGCTTGAGACCTCCTGGTGAGACCACCTGCAGTTCTCATTTTTCTCCTGTCTGCTCAGCAGCTTCAGCCCAGCCAGCCTTCTGCCCCCTTTTCAGTTTTAGGGTTACTTCCTGACGTGCAGGGCCAGCACTCTTGTTGTGCAGGTAGAAGGATAAAGGGCAGCGTGTGAGGAAAGGCGGGCCTCAGAAGCCTGATTTGTGGCCCTAAAGCAGTGGTTTGGAAATCGAGATGGAAAAAATTATAACAGAAGAACAGAAAGGCCAAAGTGCTGAATTCCTATTTTAGCTCAGTCTTTTCCCAGAGGACAGACTATGGACCTCCAGACGTATGTGAAGGGCAAGGGGAGGGGACAGGATTGCAGGTGGAGATGGACAAACAGATAGTCAAGGAATCCCTTACCACCTTGAACAAGTTCAAATCTCCACAGCCAGGTGAACTGCATCCGAGAGTAATGAAAGAATTGGCCGAAGAACTCTCAGAACCACTTTCCATTATTTTCACAAAATCATGGGAAACAGTTAAGGTGCCAGATGTTTAGAGGAGGGCTAATGTTCTTATTTTCAAAAAGGGCGCAAAGGAGGAACCTGGGAACTGCAGATCAGTCTTATTGACATCAATTCCAAGGAAAATTCTGGAACAGATTATAAAACAGTCACTATACAAGGACCTAGAAAACAATGCAGTAATAACTACAAGCCAACATGGGTTTGTTGAGAACAAATCCTGCCAGACTAATCTGATCTCATTTTTCGATCGGGTCATCTCCCTGATAGATAGAGGGAATGCTGTAGACGTAGTATATCTTGACTTCAGCAAAGCTTTTGACAAAGTGCCCCATGATATCCTAATTAGCAAGCTAACTAGGTGTTGCCTGGACAGATCAAGTGTCAGGTGGATCCACGATTGGCTACAGAATCGTACTCAGAGGGTGATTATTAATGGGTCCTTCTCTAACTGGGAGGAGGGCATTAGTGGGGTACCCCAGGGCTTCAACATTTTTATTAATAGCCTGCATCAGGGGGTGCAGGAATGCTAATCAGATTTGCAGATGACACAAAATTGGGTGGAATAGCAAACACCCTGGAAGACAGAAACAAAATTCAGTTCTGGACATCGGACTTCAAGAAGGATGCTGTCAAATCAGAACAAGTTCAGAGGAGGTCAACAAGGATGATCAGGGGGCTGGAAACCAAGCCCTGTGAGGAAAGACTGAAAAAAATGGGCATGTTTAGCCTTTAGACAAGAAGGCAGAGGGTAAATAGGACTGTACTTTTCAAATACCTGAAAAGATGCCATACGGAGGAGGGGGAGGATCTGTTCTCGATCCTCCCAAAGTGCAGGACACACAACAATGGGCTCAAAAGACAGGAAGTCAGATTTTGGCTGAATATCAGGAAAAACCTAATAGAGTACAATGATGGGGCCCATGACCTTGGGGAGGTGGTGAGCATGCCAACGCTGGAGGCCTTCAAGAGAAAAGCTAGACACCCATCTGTCAGATTTACTTGCCTTGAATTCCTGCACGGAGTAGAAGGTTGGACTTGATGGCCTTAGAGGCTCCTACCAACTTCAGGATTCTATGGTTCCCAACGCTGGGGGAAACCAGGTATTCTTGAACTGCAAATCCTAGTGGGGAAGGCTTTGGGGAATTCCATTCCAAGAACTCCCCAATTACCTAAGGTTGGGAACCCCTGCCCTAAAGAGTCGGGGGGGGCCCTCTTGCAAGAAGATGCAGAAGAACCCTTGGGACAGGATCTGGAAGCCTGAGCAGGGAGGAGGGAGGAGGAAGCGCCAGGGTTCCCCATCTCTGGTCGGGAACTCTGCTTGAAGGGGATATTAGCAGCCAGGTCTCGGAGGGGTGGTGCGAAAGGGCAGAAGTGCACTTGCCCAGTTTCATTGGAGGGAGAGAGACGACGGCAGTGCATTGACAGGAAATGCTGGAAGCCGTTTTGAGTTTCAAGATCTAAGGCCAGAAGTTTCTTAGGCTTTTCGTTCCAGTTTGCTCTTGATTTGGGACCATCAAGTCTTCGGCCGTGGCTGGCTGACTCTTGATGCGTGGCTGTCTACAGCGTGGGTCCTGTTCAAGGCACCTCTTCCCCTCTGCTGGAGTCAACAAAATACACTGGAACACGTTCCAATTATAAATTCAATACAGCCTTGTTAGATCTGGGATGCCAGGCTACTGGTGGGCCCTCTCTGGCTGTCCCGTGTGCCCAGGCAGGAATGGCTCTCCTTTTCTTCCCAACGGCACAGAGAGGTCTCTGGTGAGCAGATCAGATGCCTTGCAGGACAAACTTTTAAAATTACAGTTTGCTTCTCCCTGAATTGGCTAGATAGGCGGGATATAAATAAAATAAAATAAATAAATAAATAATGACTGTCTTCGGATGACTGAAAGCGTAAAGACTTCACTGATCACCCTCAGTGTTTTTGGAGTTCCTATTCTGGCTTGCTGTGCTCTGATGAATTAATCCTGCACTGCCCCCTTGGCTGGCATCCAGCTTTTGCAGCCCGCCTTACGCTTTTCTCTTCTCTTCTCTGCAAGCTGCATGTGCTCATCTATGTGAGGAGTTTCCTTTGTTGCCCTGGTATGTGCCTTGTCGCTTGTGATTCCTCACGCGGTCGTTCTCAGGCATGGGGTGTCAAGGTGCTTCACAGCTGGCCTGAATGCACTGGGCACCCAGCCCCATTCAGTTGGGGTTTATTTATTTATTTAAAATATTTTGACTTTTCTCCTTAAGAAAAGGACCCTAAGCAGGCTACAACATTAATGGAGAGTATTGAAGCTCAAAACAGTGAGTATACAAATGCTAAAAGGGATTGAACAAATGCCATACCAAAATTAATAATAAGCAAGAAGGGAAACACATTCCAAGCAGTAAAGCATAACCATCCGCCTAAAAACCGCACTCGGGCAGCCAGTGATTCTTGCCTGAAGAGAACAGTCTTGGCCTATTTGCGGAAGGATAGCCATGATGGAGCCAGCCTGGCTTCCAGTGGGAGGGAGTTCCAAGAGTCTGGGAACAGCCACAGAGAAGGCCCTCTCCTGTGTTCCTAGCCAACAGACCTGTGGTTGTCAGTGCAGCCTGGCTGCTTATACATCTGTGACATACCGAGAGCTTGATGGTCCCTTCTGTGTGCTGTTTGTGGGGGTGGGGCTCTTTCAGCCTGAGGTCTGTGCACAGGATCACAGGAGTCCTTGTGGGGAGGACTGCACTCCAGTGGTGGTGGATGGGGAAAAGGAGGATGAAAAATGCCTGTGTGTTTTAGCCTTGTGTTGCTCAGGCCAGTAGCTAAGCTTCAAGAACAATGTGGGATGGTACATAGGAAAGTTTGTGAAACACTGCAAGGTGATAACTGGTCATGGGAGGGGTGTGGACTTCTGGGGGCGTGCAGCAGGTCCAAAATGCCGCAGGCAGATTGCTAACAGAGGCTAGTTACAGGGAACATATAACCCCACCCCAGCCCAACCCCCCTGATTCCAACAGCTCCCCTGACTGCTGATTTCCATTTCTGGGCACAATTCTAGTTGTTCGCTCTAATCTATAAAGCCTTAAATGGTCTGGGCCCCAGCTGTTTCAAGGACCGCAAGCGCATCTCTCTTTATGAGTCTACTCGAGTGTTGAAATCACCAGCAGAGGTCTTCCCATCAGTCCCACCACCTTCACAAGTAGATTTTGGTGGTGATACGGAAGAGGGCCTTCTCTGTGGCTGCTCCCAGAGACTCTGGAAATCCCTCCCACTGGAGGCCAGCCTGGCCCCATCTTTATTGTCCTTCCGCAAGCAAGCAAAGCCCTTTCACTTCAGCCAAGATTTCCCTTAATGACTGGTGGTCTGAAAGGGGGGGGGGTTGTACAAATTTGTATTTGTGAAGGCTTATATTCTTCCCATTGTACAGATTGTTGCGCTCAGTTGCTTTCAAATTTGTTTTTAGTATCAGTTTTAATCACAATTTTTAATATAATACATGTTTGATTCTAATATTGGTATACTCAGTGTTTTTAGCTTTTGAATATTGTCCTTTAATTGTTATAAGCTGCCTTGGGTCATTTTAAGGAGAAACTTGGGGTAAAAATATTTTTCAACCAACCCACCAGCCCCAGACGCCTGGATTAGGATCTCAGGGGGCTCAGATTTGGGCCCAGGGCAGCTGTTTGTTCATTTCCTGGGGGCCGATGCGCCCCTTCCCATGGCTCTGGCCTAGCCTTCCGGCTTTAGTGGCCAGGAGGATCACCATCACCAGGAGGGAGGGAAGGAGGGAAGGGGACCGGCCACATTTAGGCTAACTAAAGTCTCTGGCGGACCTTTTT